TATTATTTTATTATTTATATTTATTTTATTTCCGGTCTAGTTTTTGGATGGAAAGTAATCCAAAGGGAGTCAAGATGCTTGAATAATTTTCTCCATGCTGTAGCTATTGTGCACTTTGTGAGGGTCCCTTGTAAGTAAAGCCGAAACATGTACCGCGCTTATTTGATTAGAATAAATTTTGTTTTAGATTTAAGCGTCACCGTATTAGTGCTCGTTACTTTGGCCTATTCTATAATTTGATTGTATCTAAAAAATATCTAAAAGACGTCTTATACATTGATTATAGACTTTGTGTTGTCTGGAATGTAAGATTAATATTTTGAAAACATCCAAATGTAAATATACTTTATACGTCAAATAATGTACGTTTTTAAAACACTCATATTAAGTCCATGGACGTTTGTACTAAATAAAAACGAAATTTGGACGTCCACTGGACATCGTGCGCTGTCTGAAAAGCTTTTGATAGTTTCATCAAAATCAGGAGTAGGACGTTTTCGGAAGTTTATCCGAAAAGATGACATTATGGCCCTCATTTATATTTTATACAATAACTTCGTTAATAATTAATCAATATCTAAATTTAAAATTATTTTATTCATCAAAGTGTTGTTCAATCGATTCTAGACTCAAAGTTATGAGATATTTATTACTTAGGACAATATATAAAAATGTAATAACGCTATATAATATGTCAAAAAGAAATGGAGATAATAATATGGCTCCTATAAAAATAGATTTAAAAAATTTATTTGTTTAAATATAGTATTTTGTTATAAAATATATTGCAGAATGTATGCAAATATATATACGTAAACATATCTTCTTTTACATATAGGCTGCTCAGTAGTAAAAATCTATAGTATATGTAACGTGAATATAATAAATTAACAGTAAAGTTACAACCGATTTATCAAAATTATTTTTGTAAAAAGGTCGTCAGCCCGCTTAGGGAACGATATTAACATAATACGGTGCTATTTGTTAATTTTGTATAATTCGAAAGGTGTGCAATCAAATAAAATGTTAAATAATGAACAATATATTTGTGATAATACGTTCAAGTTTAGAAAGAATGAGGAAGTATGTATAATTAAATGCTAAAATGTAATAACTTTGAAAATGTTTTGAAGTGCTGGAAAGTAAAAATACGTTATAACAAATGCCAGCGATTGTGTATTGGCATATCAGCCATGATAAGTGGACTACTGAACAAACTTTTTTATAAATAATCATTAAAATTCGCTAGCTAATAGCGGAGATATTAAAAAGGATACAAGGGGCCATAATATTATCTTTTCCTCTAAAATATCTCTGATGTCTATGGAATTTTATAACTTTTTTGAACATACTTGAAGAATTATATTCAAAACAATTCCCCATATATCGACGCTACAGCAACTCGTTTCTATTTGGATTTTTTCCTTGACGATGCTGCCGGACGACAATCGGATTTTCTTTGATTCGGTGTCAGTCAACACAATTGTGAATTGTAACAGAGACCATGCCCAAACGCCTAAAATCCAGTTAATAACTACTGGTTTCTCTGCTATCTCATCTTCATCGAAAGAATCCATGAATTCGATGATATCAGCTGCAGAACCAATATAGACTAACAGCAGCTGGCTTAACTGATCTCGAGTCAAGTCACCTTTCGGCAACATCCATCGACCGATTATTAGAATCAGCATTAAAAACTGTCCATTTATCATAGCAAACAAATCTTCCATAGGAATCTGTATCAGATAATCGAATATCAACATGAATGGCAAAAAACAAACTTTGTTTTAATTAATCAATTCTGATTGCGTATTGATATATCTGCTAGTACTAAAAATTTATTTTTATTATGTAACGTAAACTATAAACTGGTATTAGCAGTGTATATCTATTTTATATCGGGGTGCTAATAAAATTTTATTTTATTTTATATATTTTTATATCGGAGTGCTAATAAAATTATCACTCCGATATAAAAATATTTATGATATTATACGAAATCTCGCATAAAATTTGTGATCTACAATTATATAAGTATATTGACAAAAATAGGTCTATAAATATTGATCTTTTATAAAATGTCGATAACTATTTATTTACAAAATTTATATCAAAATTTATTTCGGTAAAACAATATAGCAAACCATCTTATTGTTAAAAATATGTTTAAAAAATGTAATTGAGAGAAATATTTCAACAGTGTATAATGAAGAAATTAAATTATTCCATTATGCTCACAAAAATATACAATTATTCCTAAATTACAATATATGACTATTACACAACATCAAATATAGATTCAGCATAGCTAAATTTTAAATAAAGAGTTAAACGAGATAAAAGTTGACAACAACAGATCCAGCCCCAATAACTTTAACCTTGACATATATGCTATCAAGCTCATGACCCTGAGTAACCTGACCTGAGTAAAAAAAGGTTTTAATCGTCGCTCGTTATTCATTTTGCTCCATTCCAGTTAACATTTCTTAGTATCGATGTCTAACAAGACATCTAAAAGACGTCTAAAAAAAGGTATCTTGGAGATATTTTTGAGAGATGTCTAGAAGATATCTAAAAGACATCTGAAAAAAAATATATTGAAAAGGATATCTAAAAGATATCAAATACAAAACATCTTCAAGACATCTCTAAAAGATGTCTAAAAGACGTCTCGTAAGACATCTTCCAGACATCTTTAAAAGATGTCTAAAAGATATCTATAAGATAATGGTTCCGCGATGTATTCCGTCAGCCAATAACAGCGCGCGTAATTGTTTTTGCGCTTGGCAATAAGACGAAAACACCTCTATAACCTGTTATTATATTGTTGGAATCTGGAATGCCGCGCCGACAGTTTGGCTTTGCTTTCGCTCAGTGAACAATTTTTGTGTAGTTTTTGCAGTTTGTACACCTATTCATTGTTTAAAAGCAACGAATTTTCAAAGGTTAGTAAAATGATTCATCATGAAATGTATATCAACAGACAATATCAATAGAAGTAAGTAGTATATTTTAAGAAATGGCCAGTTCGCCTAGTTATCTCTCTGCAAAAGATATTTCATTTCTCTAAGTTGGCTACTAGTGGCGCCTCCGTTCCGCGGCGCTAGTTGCTCTCATAATTGCTTCGCGATTGGCGGACTCATCCGCGTACGTGCTGCACCTGCGCGACGGGCCACGTGAGGCCCTGGCGTCCTCTGATTGGCGCATGTGACCCTCTAGCGATTACATCGTGGCTGCGTTCCGCAAAGCGCATCATGCGCAAGATTAATCTTTTTATTCTTATTTAACATTTGGTGAACAACAAGGATACCATAATATATCATGCGCATGATGTGCTTTGCGGAACGCAGCCCGTTTTTGCATGAAGACGGCTCATTGTCAGTCTTTTGCTAGCCGAAGAAAGATCTCAACCGTTATGCTTTGCAAGTCGAGAGCCTTTTTGTACTACGCGAATAAAGCAGTGTTCTGTTAGCTGTGTCTCACGAGTGTCTTCCCTAAATACGTTCCTCCAATCCTTCTGACTAATATCACTACTTCCTCTCGCGGTAATTATAAACCGCTAATATCTTTCAATATACAATAACGTGTCTGATTGCAGGTGAACAGGCAGTAGGAATAAAATTCCATCGCGTTGGATTTGTTGTTGCTATGCTTTTATTTGTATTCCTATCGCTGTTGCCTAGCTGGCATATGCAAAAGACTTCACTACATATGTGATTAAGGTGTAATGTAACACTCTATCTGTAATGTAACCTCAACCTCAACAAACGACTTATTGTTAGTCGAATTATAGTTGATGAGCTGCCATCAATCTAAGAATAATGGTATTATTTTTGAAAGTATATTAGTAGTATTTCTAAATAGAGTATATATATATTATCATTCTGAATTTACCATGAAAATGTCAGATTTTTGGAAAAGTTACTTTAGGTCGATTATTTGAAATGTATATAAAAACGTTTATGCAGTAAAACTGGTGTTTTTAAACGTTTCAGGAAATTTAAAGTTACTTTCTTAGAAATCTGAAACTCGAAGATCCTAGATTACTAACATATATCTTACACGAAAAGAGAGAATTATCAAAAATTATTTTTATATGTTTAGAGAAGTTATAAACATTCTTGACGTCGGGACGACATAGTATATAGGTTCATTACAGGGTCTCTAACTAAATGAATGTACTGCTACATTCAACTTTCTCTGTGCTTGCTTTATCTTTACATATAGTGACATGTTCGGTCGGTTCCTACTGAAATAATCCTTCTTGATTCAATTTTTCTACGAATTATTCAAGTTTTTATACATGTGTATTAATGTTTTTTTATCGAATAAAATAAACATATGACATTACACTGACTGCACAAATATTTACTGCTATGTTGAACTTTCTTTTAAATCGCTTTGCGTAATTTGCATTTATTGCAAAAGTGTCATAAATTATTATACATCATGAAAAATATTAACATTTTGTAATTATATGTCACTTTTTATTTCTAGTATTATGTTCTAATATTATGTTGGAAAGTGAAAATGCACATGGTTGTGTGAATTTGCAAATATTGGAATTATATAGTAATTAAATAGCATATTATGTTTATGATATTATGTGGGACGGATTAATGAATTGTTTGCAATTCCACTGTTTTCATCTTTTCCTACCGTTAAATGTATTTTTATTATTAATTGTAATGAATGCTTTTATCTTGTTTTACTTGTTGGATTCTCTATTAACATTCTCTATTAACAATAATTTTCATGCTGAATGCATATATTTTATTTATAATAAAAATTATATTTTTTAAACTCAAGCACGAGCACATTACTGCGTTTTCAGGAGTGGGTTGTAAATTAATTCTTTAATGTCAATGTCTCACCTAAGTGAAATTACTGTAATTGTAAATCTGTGATAAGCATTTACAAACCTGCAATATAAGCTTGTATTTTTTAACTAATGCAAGATCTATATTCTGTGGCATGAAGATGTAAATATAATGGATGAAATTCTGATTTTTACAAAGGTTTCTTAATATATTTTTTTCCTAGACGATCTACCTAAAATTAACAAATATCGGTTATTATGCCGAAGAGGAAAAAGTACAAACATCTTGTCGAACGCAACAATGGCGTCGACGACAAGAAATATTAAAGACTGACAAAATTGAGGAGAGGGCTACTGAAAACATTGATATTCCTCAGGTTCACGACAACACCAATAATACTATTATATAATTACATTAATATAAATATTATTGGTGAACATTGTGAAAAAGTTAATAATAACTGTCATTCAAATTCTGAACAATCTGATGTGGAATTATCAGAATGGAGTGATAACGACGATGGCCAATGGGATCAAGATCTAAATATTAATCCATGTAAAGAAATTCCATTACGCCAATTTCTACGGACGTGGGCTCTTGAGAATAATATTACACATTCTACTGTAACGAAATTGCTGAAAGGTCTCAGGTGTAATGGACATGAAAATCTTCCTGCTGATGCACGAACACTATTACAAATGCCAACTGTAAAATCAACAACTCTTACTGATAGTGATCTTTTTATTACCATGGTTTACGGAAAGCATTGGAAGATCATTTAAAACGCACTAGACCTGTTGAGAAACCTATCAAAATCCTATTTTGATTAATTTAGGCATTGAACTGCCACTGGCAAAAAGCTCGAAGAGCCAACTTTGGCCCCTCATAAGACAAATAATTCATGATGATCATAGAGAAGAACCATTTATTATCGGAGCATTCCATCGATAAATAAAACTATCAAAACCAAACGAAATCGTGAATAAATTGCTTGAAGAATATAATGAAATTAAAAATAAAGGATTTATATATCTTGGATAAAGATACAGTGTTTTGGTGAATTGCGTAATATGTAATGCCCCAGCAAAAGCATTCTTCAAATGTATTAAAAGCCACACAGGGTTCTATGGATGCAATAAATGCGAAGAACAAGGTGAGTGGAGGGAGCACCGAAAGATATTTTGTAATAAAAACGTTCTATTACGCTCAGATTTAACGTTTCTATTACGAACAAATGAAGATTATCATCTAAGCAATTCTCCTTTCGAAACTGCTGGATTTAAAATGGTAACACAGTTTCCTTTAGATTATATGCACTTAATTTGTCTCAGTGTCATGAAAAGACTTTTTCAACAAATTTGGATAAAAGGAATAAAGGGTATCAAATTACGCTCTTCTGAAATTAATCGATTATCGATAATCGATTATCAGCCCATTTGATGTCGTTAATATTACACATACCCAGAGAATTTTCTAGAAAACCGAGAGGAATAGATGAATTGGATCGGTGAAAAGCAACGGATTGGTTCTACTGCCTGTATACCTCCGGGTTAGGAAAGTGGTAAACAAGGAAAGAGGATCGGCGCCTTCCCATCCTTCTGCGAGCATCTCGAAAACTCCTAAAGAACAGCGTAAGCCTAGGGAATCCCCGAAAAAGAAAAGAAGACAAACGATCTCTAAGGTTGTTGAAGATATAGAGGTTTGCCCGGAGGAGGTAACTATGGAATAGTTATTTATGGCTGTTGAACTCTTCCAAGCAAACATTAATCATGTCGCTGATGCGCAGGACTTTCACCTGCACACGATGGTAGAATAGGATTGTAGTTTGGACGTGATAGCTGAGTCATACAGGGTTGCCCCTAATCAGCTTGCTGGGCGGCAGACTGCAATAACTCGGTCGCGATAGTATGAAGGAA